GTGCCTGCCCTGCAGAATGCCATCACGCGTTTCTACGGAGACAACCCTCAGACCTCCCCCAACCTGGGCAGAATCATCAACCAGAAACACTTCAAGCGTCTCCAGGGACTGCTGGGCTGTGGCCGCGTGGCCATCGGTGGCCAGAGCGATGAGGGAGAACGCTACATTGGTGAGTCTCCTGCCTGTTCGCTGGCCCACAGCCCACCTGGACTGAGACCCTTCCATTCTGGAGAGGGCCCTGTTGGACCCTGAGTGTGAGCTCCAACACGAGTCCTTGTGTTCTTGGGTTCACCGATGATTGTGGTGCCATAACTGTTGCTAAGCCTGTGACTCCTCAGTTCTAACCTTAGGCCCCACAGCTTTAGGCTTACTGAGCTGGGACCCCAGTTTCATAAGCTTAAACTTCCATTTGTTTTTCATTGCCCCATGAGGCCAGGTCCCTGAACACTCAGACCCTAGAGTCCTGAGAGGTCAGATCCCGAGACTCCCCAGTCCGGAGCCTTGTTCCCATCCAAACCCTGATAACAAGCAAGGCTGTTTCTCCCTTTGTCCACAGCCCCCACAGTGCTGGTAGATGTGCGGGAGACAGAGCCTGTGATGCAGGAAGAGATCTTTGGGCCCATCCTGCCTTTGGTGACCATAAGGAGTCTGGATGAGGCCATCAACTTCATCAACAAGCGGGAGAAGCCACTGGCATTGTATGCCTTTTCCAACTCCAACCAGGTGGGGCCTGGCAGGAGAAAGTGAGAAGGGGACAGATTAGCCAGGCCTCCTGCCTGAGGCTTTAGACTGATGCTGCAAGTTTCAGCAGCCAGCCTGGTTCCGTTGAATACTGCAACAAAAACACCTTAAGACAGGGTCGAAGGGCTGGAGAGTTGGCTCAGAGGTTAAGAGCACTGACTGCCCTTCCGGAAGTCCCGAGTTCAAGTCCCAGCAGATACGTGGTGGCTCACAACTATCTGTAATGAGATCTGGTGCCCTCTTCTGGTGTGTAGGCGCACATCCAGGCAGAACACTATATACATAATAAATAAATACATCTTAAAAAAAAAAAAAAGAAAAAAGAAAGGTGAGGCAGGGCACAAGCAGAGACACAGGTGCCAGGTGCAGAACTGTCCAGCTATCTGTCCTGGCTGGGGTAGTCTCCGCTTGCTGTATGAGGTTGCCACTGCAAAATTCCTCACAAGCCAAACTGCTATGGGATTGAAGGACGCAAACAATGATCTCCTCGAGGTTATGGTAATGGACATGGCCCTACAAAGTGCACCCCCTAGCGGGTGCTTAAAATAAGGGACTGCTCAGTGCTGGGAGAGGCAAGGCGGAGGTGAGGACTCTTTGCTCTCCCAGGGGGACTGTCAGGACTCACCCGCTCACCGCTGCTCACTTCCACCTCCTTCAGGTGGTGAACCAAATGTTGGAACGTACCAGCAGTGGTGGCTTTGGAGGCAATGATGGCTTCCTCTACCTGACCCTACCAGCCCTGCCCCTGGGGGGAGTTGGTGAGTTCCTGGACCCCTCCACAGTCCACCCTTAATCTTGGGTACTCTACCTGGATCTAGGTTCTGGGCCTCTTAGGGCCTCAGTTACCCTACTCTAAACTTTGTTGCCTGCTGTTCTCTGAGCTCCCTTGCAAGCACAGGGCTTCTGCCCTAGCAGGTGGCTGCTGCCCAGGCTGGCCAGCAGAGCTGCCCTACACCCTCGTTCTCTGTGTCCTTACAGGCCACAGCGGCATGGGCAGGTACCACGGCAAGTTCTCCTTCGACACCTTCTCCCACCAGCGCGCCTGTCTGCTGCGCAGCCCAGGGATGGAAAAGCTGAACGACCTCCGTTACCCGCCCTATGGTCCCTGGAACCAGCAGTTCATAAGCTGGGCCATGGGCTCCCAGAGCTGCACCATCCTGTGAATGACACCCGATTCCACCCTCCTGCTGCCCCAGCCCAGAACTACCTGAGCTTTCAGCTGCTCCCAGATTCCCAGTGGTTCCCAGGAGGCAGGTGACTGGGCCAGCCTGTCACTGGTCGATTCCTCTGAACAGACCTGCAGCCAACAGGACTTCCTGGTGGCTGGTCCAGCCCCTTCCCACAGCACAGTGCCCTCAGCAGCCTCTTGACCCTCTGCTTAGACAGGTCTGCTGACAGAGGAGCCCCTCCCTCCAAGGTTGGGCAGATCTGTTGACTGAGGGGGGGTGGAGAAGTGGGGGAGGGCTTTTTCTGTCAGCTCACAGACAGGGTCCCAAAAGACAGAGCAGCCTCTCACAGCTCCATCCACAGCTGGAGGGTGGCTTTGCCCCCTGAAGAGACATGATCTGGAATCAAGACCAGCTTAATTGGTGGAATCTGTCTGAAGCGTGTTCATTGGTTCCTTTCCTGTGGCTTCTATCAAATGATCCGAACAAGGCCAAGTCCCAGGGGAAAGTTCGTGGCTTCAGAAGGTTCCACACACACTCCATCCCCCACACCCCCCCTATTCTCCCCCCCCCTGCCGCCCATGACTCAGCAGAAATGACATGACAGAGCACAGTTCAGTTCAAATGATGGCAGGCCAGGAAATAGCATGATTAAGAAGGAAATCGAGGTTGATTAGTCATGTCTGCTCTGGACCCAGGCAGGGCTGTGTACATGTGATGACCACAATTTCACACCTAGAAAGAAATAATGAGAGGTAAAACATGAAATTCTTGGAGATTTGGGGTTAAAGAGAGAGCTCAGTGGTTAAGAGCACTGGCTGCTCTTCCAGAGGACCTGGGTTCAATTCCCAGCACTCACGTGGCAACTCACAACCATCTGTGACTCCAGTTCTAAGAAATCCAACACCCTCTTCTGGCCTCAGCAGGTACCGGGCATGTGATACACAGACATTCGTGTAGGCAAAATACTCATACTTGGAAAATAAAATAAAATAAAACTTTAAAAATGGAGGCTTTGAACTGGGTGTGCTGATTCAAGCCTTTAATCCCAGCACTTGGGAGGCAGAGACAGGTGGACCTTTGTAAGGCTGGCCTGGTCTACATAGTGAGTTCCAAGACAGTCAGGGATATGTAGAGACCCTGCCTCAAAAAACAAACAAAAAACTGGAAATTTCCTCTGGACATGGGGAAACCGAGGCCTTGAGTCCAGTCAGGTTTGTGCTGAGTTCACAGAGGAAAGCAGGGATAGAACCGAGGGTTGGTGGCCCTTGCTGAGGATCATGGGACTGACGGCTGAGTAGACAGGATGTCAGGCCCCTGGGATTGGCTTCTTGTTCTCCCCTAGTCCCTACCCTGGAGCTATTCCCATTCCCAGCCCTGGCTCTCTGGGCTCCTCATCCTTAGAGTCACAGGAAAGCTGAGCTAGTGGCCTGAGGTTGAGAAAATTAAAAGAAGTGTGGTCTTGGAGATGTGGGGTGATGGCACCTCCAGAATGGAACATGGGGGACACAGCAGAGGTATGTAACAGGGACTTATGGGCAGGTGGAGAGGATAACAGATAGATGAGAGGAGGTACCTGCTATGGCTAGAAGAGCAGAAGATGGCTGGCAGGGTGGAGTGTTTGAATGTTGAGACTGGTGGGTTAATGAGCAGGTGGGCAGGTGAGTGGCAGGTTTGCAAGCCACCCTGGGGCTCCAGAGGGGTCATGGTGAAATCCAGCTGTAGCTGCTGGGCCCACAGTAGTCATCAGCCACCGGATCAGCCATCAGAAAATCCACAATACACGTGAGTCATCCTTCCCCATCCAAGTCCAGGACATCAAGTTAGCAAGAAGCAGCCAGCAGGACAGGGCTGGAGCAGGAGCTGAAGGGACTCAGAGGCCACAGAGAAGGTGGTGGAGAGGCAGAGCTTGCAGCAGGACTCGAGGTCTGGAGCGTAAATGGGCTTTGGGAGGCCACGTCTGGTAGTACGGAGGACGTGGGTAGGGGCACATGTCTGTATGAGACCATGGCAAGGGGCCTCCCCCTCTTGTACGGCCTGTGCTGATAGTCATTTGACAAGTGGACATAAACTAGAGTCATTTGGAAAGAGGGAACCTTAATTTAAAAATGTCCCCAACAGTTTGGCCGGCAGCGTCATTTCTTCGATCAATGAGTGACATGGGGAGGGCCCAGGTCACAGTGGGCGGGGCAATCTCTGGGCAGGTGGTCCAGGGTTGTGTAAAAAAGCAGGCTGAGCAAGCCACGAGGAGCAGTTCAGGAAGCAGTGTTCCTCCAAGGCCTCTGCTTCAGCTCCTGCTGTCAGGCTCTGCCTTGAGTTCCTGCCCTGACTTCCCTCAGGTGGATTTGCAGAGGCTTGTAAACCCTCTCCTCCCACGGGGCTCTGGTCATGGAGTGTTGATCACAGGCACAGAAAGCAGGATGCTGTCCCTTGAGCTGCAGCCTCAGCTCCCTGCAGTGGCACCAAGTACAAAATGTCTTGCCTGACAGGATGCAGAGGGCAAAGGACGGAGCTGTTCCCCGGGGCCGCGCCTGTGAACCACAGAGAGTTCTCAGTGCCCTCCAGAAGGACTACAAGGAGACTTTCCAGGCCTCTCTACCCCAGCATGGCCACTGAAGTCCTGCCCTCTCTTCTCACCCAAGCACCTGATCGCTAGAAAGCAGACAAAGGACAGAATGTCTGTCATTCCACCCCCACTCCCCCCCTCCCGTACCCAGCCAGAGCTGGTCCTGCAGGTGGGGGAGAGTCGAGGGGCAGGGAACAAGGTCACCCCTCCGCTGCCTCCTGTCTCTCCCTCCCCCCAGCTAGCCATGCACACTTTGAGAAGTGTCCCCATCCTCAAGGCCAGATCCTGGCCCTGAGAACTAGTGATGGTGGCCTGGCCACAGGGCTCCCAGTCAGTCCACACGTGGCTAACCTCCTTGCAGGTCTTCACTTCAGCGAGGCTCAAAATTTAAACTTCTCATTTCCTGAACCTTTTACCCCAGCTGGTGCTCTCCTTTCTCCTGTGGTGCTGGCTACACTCCCCTCCATTCCCAGGCCTTTTCTGACCACTTCCTCCCCTCCTTCTCCAGGTGAAGGCCTCATGGTCTCTGAGCCGGTTGGCAAATCCCACCCTCTAACCTAAACTTTGCAGGGCAGGGGCTTCTCCTCACCGTGTAATACACATTTTGGTGCTCTTATCTCTCTCTCCTCTCTTCTTGAACTCTCTGCCTCAGTTTCTCTCCTGGGGTCACCCCCCCACCATGTCTCTCTCTCTTTCTCTCTCTCTCTCCACCTCCATCCAATGAATCTCTTTCATATCACATCTGTTGTATGTGGTATTAAAAATAAAATACTAATAGCTGTCCCAGAAGGAAGCTGGAGGAGCAGCTACGTGTCTCCGATGTCACCTTGGGAGCCACCAGAAGAGAGATGGGAGGTCAACTGTGAAGGACAGACAGAGGCAGGGGTCTGGAGATGCTGGGAGGAGAGTGGCCATGTCACATCCCTGGAGGGCTCAGCAGGCCAGGCACAGGGAGCAGGGCTGTCCAACCTTGACGAAGAAGTAACAGGCAGGCCCACCAGAGGAGCTGAGCGCTGACAAAGGGAGCCACAAGCCTAGTCAGGAGAGTGGAGGGGCAGGCTGGGGCTCCAAAGCCACTGGGTCCGTGATCCTCAGGCGTGGATCCCAGGCCCCAAGCCCCTCTTGGATCAAGATTTACAACTTGGGGTGGGGTGGGATGGGGGTAGCTTAGTTCTGACATCTTTCTGGGCCTCAATTTCCCTACCTAGAGAGATGTTGGGCTCTAGCCTTTGCTCATCTTGGGGGGTCCTTGCCCCTACTCCCCCCAGCTGTCTCAGTCTCAGAGCTGCCTCACCCTCGTTTCCCATGCAGGTTCCAAGGCCCAGGGAAAGCACTGCCTTTTCTCCAGGTCACACAGCTTGTCAGGGGACCCATCTATTTCCTGGGGCTCAGGGGCATAACTCATTGGGCCTGCCATAGCCTCTGTACATAACTAGAAACAAGAGAAGCTAGTTCCAGCACAGGAAGTGGGGCCCATCCTTAGCTGGAGCTCTGCACCTCCTGGCAGGAAGGACCCTGAACCCACCACCCCCCTCAACAGCCAACTTAAGCAAGAAGTTCCCACTTCTGAGGCAGAGCAGGACTCCAGTAGGTGGGTGGCCTTCAGACTAAACAGCCAGGCTTTGGGCTGGAGCAGAGCAGGGGTTGGGGTTGGGGGGAACAGGCAGCCTGACTCACCCCTCCAACAGCCCCTGTCACCTGCAGGGGAAGGGCTGGGTGTACAGCTCCCAGAAACTGTTGATGAAAGGTTCTGTGACCTTCTGCATAGGCCTTATGGAGGTCCCTGGCCTCCCTCAGCCAAGGCCCCAGACAACAGAAAGAGTTCCTGGATAACATGTCACCACCTCCAGCAATTAACCAAAGGACAGCTGCCCCTGCGAAAACAAAAGTAAGCCACAGGGCCCCACTGTTCCCAGTGCCATGGGGTTGGGGAGGGTAAGAGGACACGTTCAGGCTAGAGTGTGATCTAAGTGGCTTTGAGGAAGGCTAGCACAGAGGCCCCCAGCCACCCAGAGCCCCCAAACTGTCTGCCAGGCTTGGCTCTTCAGCAGGAACTCAGTCTTGTTCCTCCAGGATGTGAGGACATCCTGGAACACAAGGCCTGATCTCAGCCCCCAGGTGTGGCCAGCGAGTGGACATAGTTAATTGGATGGTTAAGTGGGCTGCACGGTTCACTGCCTCCATCTTGCTTCTTTCTTCAGTGACCTCTGAACAGCGCTCTGTTCCTGCCAGTGGACAGCTGAGCTTGGTAGGAGGGCCAGCCCTGGGTCAGGGAACCAGTCTTCTCCTCTGTCCTCCCCCAGGACGCCACAGAGGCAGCAGAGAGAGGAACGGGTCACAGCCCGTCTTCCAGGTCCATCTGTCCCCTGTGTTCAGTGCACCCTGAGCTTCTCTGCTGAGCCTTACCTTCCACACCTGTAAACTGGGTCTGAAGGCTGTTTCCCAAAAGGGAGCGAGCAAAGCCATTTCAGTTACAGCGTCCCTGACAGCCACCACAAAGACTAGGAGGCAAAACATTTTGCAATTTCGTTTGAGCCATCAGTGAGCTAAAGGTATGAGCCCCACAGCCCCCACAGGTACCACGAGTTGCAGAGACAGGGAGATTCAGAGGGAAAGCCATGGAGGGAAGGGGGACTCCTTTTCTGGTGGTCCCTAAAGTACAGGGCTGGTGTGGCCAAAACCAAATCACTACCCGCTGCTGTCTGCCTTAAATAGTCTCAAAGAAAGCAGCTCTCTGGGCGGATCCGGGCAAAACACCATGAGGGCCTTGGACCGGGTACTGGACCCCCGGTACCTGCCAGTCAGCAAAGCCAAGTCCTTTCTGAGGACTGGGAGTCATGATTTCAGGTCGGGAATCTCTGTGATTTATTTTCCAAGGGCAAGTATAACTTATACCAGGAGCCCCCCGCAGGCCCTCGCAGGGAGAACTGTCCCAGTTCAAGGAGCGAGGAGCAGAGGGCAAGGGCTGAAACCTGCCCTAGGGAGCTGGACCCAGCAGGCTGTGGTGGGTGGGGGTGGGTGGAGCTTAGGGGTGGGGGCGGGGCCCTGTGAACTTTGAATGCCTGGCTTCCAGCCCAGCAGCCCCTGGTTCCCAGCCAACACAAACACTTCCTGCCCGGGCCTGCAGGCCTATAAATCCAGCCATCCAGGAGGCCTGTACATCAGGCCTGGGCCTAGGGAAGCCCAGAAGGTAAGCGGCCTCTTGGAGGCTTCCGGCCAGTTCAGAGGAGGGTGCAGAGGTAGCCTGGAACCCAGACACTTGCTGCACAGCTAAGGGAACGACAGTCTTCTCTCCCTGGAAAGCCTGGCATTGGCTTTTACCATCTGTAAAATGTGTGCATGATTCTCCTATGGTGATGGGGGTGTGGGTGGGACCAGCCCGCCTTCTGAGTGTCTGAGTCCCTTCTCTCAGCTTAGGTGAAAAAAACTTCCTTCTCACAGCATCAAGGGAAGTGTCTCCTCAGAGAGAAAAGCAGAAAGAGGAGCGACACTCACCCTCAAAGAATGTCCCAGAACAGGGACCGAGGTTTCAAGGACAGAAAAATTGTCCTCAGGTTCTCTTGAGCTTGGCTTCCGGGTACAGGTGGGACACAGCTGACACCTCTTCACAGGCAGCCCCCTGCCTCCGACTCCTCAGGGCCTGGGGAGCGCACCCTCCTGTCTGGATACTAAGCTCCACATCTCCACTCTGGGATGACCTCCCTGCCCGCGCCCCGGGAACCCCTGCGCCGTGTGGCTGTGATTGGGGGCACCCACGGAAATGAGATGTGTGGCGTCCACCTGGCCCGGCACTGGCTGAAGGCCCCAGGGGAGCTGCAGAGAGCCAGCTTCTCGGCCATGCCAGTTCTGGCCAACCCGGCAGCCACAGCTGCCTGTCGCCGCTACATGGACCGAGATCTTAACCGTACTTTCACCCTTACCTTCCTCCGGTGAGTACCCTTGGCCAGGTTGGCTGAGTCACAGGCAGGTTCTAGTACCCCAACAGATCTGCCTCTGTGGCCAGCAAGGCACCTCTGCCTTTGCTCAGTGATCCTCTGGGTTAGAGAGATCCAAGCCAATGTCACCTCTTCCAGGAAGTCTGTCCTGATTGTGAACCTTACTTAGGCCACACTCTTACCAGTTGGATGGAGTGAGACACGCATGGGGAATAGGAGCAAAGATGTGAGCCTCAGGTTACTGGGGACACAGAGGAAGAGCGGGATGGCCGGGGGCGGGGGGGCCCTGGTGAAGCCTCCGGCCCGGCCAAGAGCAGCCTTTGTGTAGAGGTGGCCTCTCAGCCAGTTTCCCCAAGGGGTGAGAAGTTAGCCAAGGAAAAGGAGGCTGACTGAGGTGATGGGGACTGGCGTCCCCTGTTCCTTTCCCCAAAGTTCCGAAGCCACCCCCGATGACCCGTATGAGGTGACGAGAGCCCGAGAGTTGAACCAGCTCCTGGGGCCCAAAGGCACAGACCAGGCCTTTGACTTTATCCTGGACCTGCACAACACCACAGCTAACACTGGCGTCTGCATCATCTCTGAATCTCCCTACACCGTGTTCAACTTGCACCTGTGCCACTACCTACAGGTAGTCAGACGCTGGGGAGAGGGCAGAGTGGCCAGGGTCACCTCAGCCTGGCCCTTGTTCCCAGGGGCCTCCCGCTTGCAAGGACTCCAGATGCTGCTCTGGAACCATCCAACCAAGGGAGGGATGTGGGCCGGGTGGGTGACCCTGTGCTTCCTGTACGTCTCTCTCCCAGCCTCAGTGCCTGGGTCCTGACTGGCTCATCTCACCCCACAGATGCAGAACCCGGACCTGCCCTGCCGCTTCTTGGAGTACGAAACATCCCAGAATGAAACCTACAGCTTGGAATCTGTGTCCAAGAATGGAATCGGTGAGCTGGGGGTGGGAAGAGCGGGAGGGGGAGAGGGAGGGAGGGAGGGAGGGAGGGAGGGAGGGAGGGAGGGAAGAAGGGAGAGGAAGGGGCCAGGAGGGGTGGAGTCAGCCTGGAGAGGCGGAGTTGGAAGCAGGTAGATCCCTTGGAGGATGGAACCAGGCCCCAGCCTGGCAGGATCTCTCCTATGAGTATCGAGTCACCTCCAATGGGGCACCTGCCTGACATCTCCCTTCCTGGCCCCAGCTCTGGAGATAGGCCCCCAGCCTCAGGGCGTGCTGCGGGCTGACCTGTTCTCCCAGGTGAGAGCCCTGGTGATGTCCATCCTGGACTTCATCGAGCTCTTCAACCAAGGTGAGACCCTCCGATAGCTTTGCAGGGAAACTGAAGTCTGGGGAGAGGGCTGGTTCCAGAAAACCAGAGGTGGTCACACCCAGCCTCTACCCAGGCAAGGCCTTCCCCGCCTTTGAGATGGAGGGCTACAGGAAGTTAGGCGCCGTGGACTTCCCACGCACCTCCGACGGCGGTCTGGCCGGCACTGTGCACCCTCGGCTACAGGTTGGTGTTAGGGAGGGGTACGGGAGGATACCCTGAGCAACCAAGCCTCCAGTACCTCAGAATCCCGAGCTGGGCCCAAGGCTGGGCCAGTCCATACCTGCACCTAGAGCCCCCGCTGGCCTAGCGTTTGGAGTCGCTGTCCTCCTTTGACTGGAGAAGCAGAGGGGAGGGGGACAGAACCCATGTCACCTGCTGGGCGGTGCAAATATTCTTTTCCCATGGCTGCTTGAGCAGCCCCGTGTCAATGAGTGGACTTTCCACACGGGGTCGCTGTTGAGCAGGAGCTTGTGCAGTCCTGCAGCCTTTTTCTGCAGGAGTCTTAGTAATTTTCCAGCTCATTTTTGACACCCGGGAGAGCATCTCACACCAGACCTGCCCACACGCTTTGCAAATGCTATGTAACAATAATTATTTTAAGCCGAGTGCGGTGGGGCACGCTTGTAATCCCAGCACTCGGAGGCAGAGGCAAGTAGATCTCTGTGAGTTCGAGGCCACCCTGATCTACAAGGTAAGTCCAGGACAACCAAGGCTACACAGAGAAACTCTGTCTCAAAAGAAACAAAATAAAACAACAAACAAAAATCAAAACAATAGTTATTTTAGGGATTTTTACCTTTAAAAATATAAGCATGTTTTTATATTTTTGTCCAAGAGACTGTATGCAGGAACGATTCTGGTGAGAGAGTATTTCTTGACCACGTCATAGCCATCTTAATTTGCATAGTACACACCATGATGTTCTTTTTTTAATTAAAAATTTTTTTTAATATTAGTTACAGTTTATTAACTTTGTATCCCAGTTGTAGCCCCCTCCCTCATTCCCTTCCAATCCCACTCTCCCTCCCTGATTTCTTCCCTATCCCTTTCCAAGTCCACTGATAGGGGAGATCCTCCTCCCCTTCCATCTGATAGCTTATCAGGTTTCTTCAGGACTGGCTGCAATGTTTTCCTCTGTGGCCTACCAAGGCTGCTTCTCCCTTGGGGGGCGGGGTGAGGTCAAAGAGCCAGCGTTTGAGTTCATGTCAGAAACAGTCCCTGTCCCCCTTACTAGGAAACCCACTTTGACGATGTTCTTGAAACGGCAAAACCGCCTGGTGACACATTTCTCAGAACTAATCCTGTCTCTAAGCAGTGTTTCTTGGCAAGGCTGGGGTTACTCCCTCCTGGGGTAGGGGGCAGAGGTCATAGCCCCAGCAGCCTTGGCTTTGGCTCTTCTCTCCCAGGACCATGACTTTGAGCCACTGAGGCCTGGTGATCCCATCTTCAAGCTGTTCAGTGGTGAAGATGTGCTGTATGAAGGGGACTCCATTGTATACCCTGTGTTCGTTAATGAGGCCGCCTACTACGAGAAGCACGTGGCTTTCCTGAAATCTGAGAAGATCCAGATCTCAGTGCCTGCTCTGCCAGGGCTGACCTCCAGCCCCACCGTGGCTTCCTAACCCAAGTCATACCTCAGTTTCCCTATCTGAACAATGGGTCCCAAGGCACAGTCCCAAGCCCAGGATCCCCATCCCACCCTGGGCACCATGTCTTTGCCAGACAACCAATGCCATGATATAAAATGGAATGTGCCCAGAAACCATGGTTCCTGTTCTTTGCCCATCGAGGTCTCTCTTTGATTAGGGAGGTGAGGGGAGGAGGGGAGGGATGTCCCCAGGATCATGCGTGGACCCGCACATATAGGCATACTGAAGGGGAAACTGGGGGAGGGCCAGCCAGTGTAACCTTGAACCTGGGTCCAGTGGTAGCCTTTTCTGTGCCCACATTTGGCCACACATCCTGGGGATAGAAATCTATGTGGAGGAAGATCTAGAGAGGGACTTTCAGGGGTGCAGGGGGGATCCCCAGTCCCCTACAGACATGTGCCCAAGTAGCACACACAGCTGTGCTTATCCAGGGGTCCTTAGAATATGTGTGTGTTCCCAGGAGTCCTAGGCCTACAAGCGTTCTTTTGGGGTGATCTGCATGAAGCAAATTTCCAGGTGGTTTAGAGGAGTCAGGATTGCAGACGGGGTACACCCAGGGCAAGGGTACTGGGGGGAGGTGGCCTGGGCCGGGGAAGAAGAAAGCCCAAGAGAGAAGGCAGGAAGCCAAGGCTGCCTCACCCCCACCACCTTCTCCACCAACCCTCCCTCACACATTGGCATGAGGGGGAACAGCCCAGTGGTGTGCCCTGCTGGGAAGGCACAGCATTGCAAACCCCAGAGCCGGGGCCCAGAGTTCTGCCCTCCCGCAGCCTCGCTCTCGGCCTCTGCAGTCTGCCTGGCCCATTCATCTCCCTGCGGCCACGGCTGCCATGCCGTCTGCTGGTATTGAGCTGTGAGATGAGGAGGTGTGAAGGATATGGCTGCGCCAGGGACCAGCTGGCAGGCAAGATGGATGAGAGGGCATCGGGGCCAGCAGGAGCCTGGGGCAGGGAGGCAGAGCAGTTAGGGAGGGGTGCTGGATGGCTCCTTGCACGGCGCTCGTGTGTTCATGTGCCGGGCTGCGTGGAGGGACTACACACGCAGAAGCCCCGTCCATGGTCCTGTCACGGGTGAGCCTTTGAGCTCATGAGTGTGCATGTAGACATGTGAGTTAGTGTGTTTATGCTCGTGTGTGTGTGTTTCCTATTACATGTATCAAAGGCAGGCGCACACACGCATACACACACATGTCAAGAGCCAACAGAACCTAGGCTGGCCAATTCTGAGGATCCGGGCAGAGGAGGAACTGCTAAGACTGGGACAGGATCCCCGAACCTCTCTACCCTCCACCCACCACACTGAATGCCAGAACAGGAGGGCTAGGGGTATACTTTATCAGAGGCCCTTGGAGATGCTGGTGGGCTTTGGCCAGCAGACAACACTCCTTTCTTACCTGGCTGAAATCTCCAAAGCCAATGTCAGTGTCCTCCACACAGTGGAGTTTAGATCTGTGCAGGGCTGGCTGCCTCCAGCAGAAACCATGGTCTCTATGAACCTAGCCTCCCAGCACCAGACTGAGGAAGCCTGGACACTCCCCCAAGGGTCGGCTGAGGTGGCCTGGGAAGCCCCACCCTTGAGCAGTGACTCAGTTTCCCTCAGGACAGATGGGGAAGCTGGCTCGGAGGAGGTGCTCAGGCTGCCTCAGTCTACCCGTGAACATTATGTGAGGGCACAACCTCTGCTCTTCAGCTGAGGCTGGATCATCACAGGCAGAGATTGCTCACTGGGTGTAAATACATGACCACACAGTCTGGGGCTCTCCCTGCCTCTCGTGTTTCCTGCTCGTTCCTTGCAGGGAGGAGCCGTAGGCTGGTGGGAACAGGATCAGTTGGCTGGGGTCTTAGGCTAGGAGGGAGGGCATCACTTCTGCACCCGGCCTTCGCTGCCTCTCCTGCTGCCTTCCCTTCAGCCCTTCCATCTAGCCAGAGCCCAGCCCCTGTGGACACCAGGCTGTCCTCAAGATGGCACCCCGCCCCCACCTGCACTGGGGCCCATTGATCAGGAATAGCTGGGGGGCTCTTAGCCGGAGAAGGGAGAGAGGACCAGGAGGGGTGAAGGGGAGCTTTGCCACGTCACAACCTCCCCACCTGCCCCCTTCCGCACGAGCCTGCCCCCAGAGCTGAACCCAGCCAGTGGCCCAGCTCCAGAGACTACAGTCAGAGGTGGTTTGGAGACGCCTCCCGAACATCCGGGAGCCAGGCTTTAAGAACATCCAGAGCAGGTGCCCAGCTCAGGAGGACAAGCCTCGGCCAGAGACCTGGACGGAGGACAACTGAGGAGGGGAGCACTGAGACCTGGGGGCTGGTGCTGGCTGGTGCGCAGGAGCCGGCCCGGTGTCACTCACTGGCTACCCCTCCCTGGGTGAGGCTGCAGCCCAGCCTGAGCTGTCCGCATGGCAGGTAGGTATGGTTCGGGCCATAGAGGTGGCCTCGTAAGTGGACTGGGAAACCGGATGGGCAGCTCCTAAGCTTCGGCCTCGGGTCCCGCAGATCTTTCCCAAAGGCCCCCATCTCTGCCGCAGTGTGGGTTCTTGGGACAATCCATTCCTTGTGGGTCAAGGCGGTCAGGGCTGCGGACAAGGTGGCACACACCCTGTGCCCCCACGCTCTGTAAGCAGTCCACGATGCCGTGTTGGACATGACCCCTCCAGCCATCTGCCTTTTTAATTCTTTGTAATTATTGCATGCGCATATTCTTGAACATACATGCATGCAAGTGTGCACGGTGGAGGTGGGATAGCCCCGGGACGCACGTGGGGGTCAGAGGACAATTTTTTTGAGGAGTTGGTTCTTTCCTTCCATCCTGTCGGCTCTGGAAATGAACCTCGGGTTGCCTGGCTTTCGCAGCATCTGCTTAACCTGCTGAGCCATCTCACCAGCCCTCCCGCCCGTCTCTCCAGCTAGCGGGCCATCAGCGCCCTTTGCTCACACTTATCTGGGAGCACTGCTGGGAATGGAGGCCTTGCCCGCTGACTCCTGGCCACAACGACGTCTGTGGGTCGGGTCCTGCGGTCCTCGGCCCCCTCCCGGAATGTCACCCACAGAGTTTTGTTTTCGTATTCTAAACAGGGTCGCATGTAGCTAAGGCTGGCCTTACATCAGTGTGTAGCTCAGGGTGACTTCAGTTTCCAAGCAGTGGGAGTACAGATGCGCGTCACCACATCTGGCTCAAAATAACCTTCTTTAAAATCCAGCGCTGGGCCCTGGAAACAGATCCCCATGCACGCTAGGCAAGTGCTCTGTTGTTGGGCTGTGTGTCCCGCAGAACCCTTCAATTGTGGCAGGCATGCATACGATTTGCCGCGTTAACCACATTTAAGCATGTAGCTCATGGCATTAGGATGTTCATGGCTGTGTACCCTCACCACAATATTTATAAGATGCAATCTTTCTGCATCTTATAAAGCTGAAACTCTAATCCCCACTGGACATTTCTCCTTCTGGGCCCTGGCAACCACCACTAAACTTTCTCTGTTTCTGTAAAAAAAAAATTTTTTTTTTACCTTCTGTAAGTAAAATTATACAGACTGGCCGTATGTTTGGGGCCTGTCTCATAGTTCTCACGGTCCCTCCTCACTGCACTAGAAAGGCCTTTCCTTTGAAGGGTGGATAGTATTCTGTTGTAGGCTACACTTTATCTGCTTATCGGTCAGTGGACACTCGATTACTTCTGCCTTTTGGCTATTGAAGCAGTGCTGCCCTGAGGGGGGTGTAGACACCTTTGTGTGGGTTCCTACTTTGGTGATTCGGTGTTTAGTTTTGTCAGGGACCTCTGATTTCTGAAAGGGCTGCACCATATTAAATTCCCACCAGCCCGGGGATTCCAATTTCTCCATAATTTTGCCCATACTTATTAAGTTCTACATTCTTTTCTTGTCCTAACAGGCGTCTTGATGCTGGCCTAGTGTCTTATTAAGATTAATGCCATTGCTTTTTTTTTTTTTTTTTTTTTAAACAGGGTTCCTCTCTGTAGCCTTGGCTGTCCTGGAGCTCACTCTGTATACCAGGCTGACGTGGTCTTAGTCTTAACCATTTTGTTTGCTTGTTAAATTTCCTTTTTTTCCCTTTCCTTTCCTTTCCTTTCCTTTCCTTTCCTTTCCTTTCCTTTCCTTTCCTTTCCTTTCCTTTCCTTTCCTTTCCTTTCCTTTCCTTTCCTTTCCTTTCCCTTCCCTTCCCTTCCCTTCCCTTCCCTTCCCTTCCCTTCCCTTCCCTTCCCTTCCCTTCCC